TTTCTTAAAGCTTAGGGCTTAAATCATCTATTGTAGACTGAGACTAATCACAATCGCGTATTCTACTCGTACTTGACCGTGATTGGTCAATTTCTTAAAGCTTAGGGCTTAAATCATCTATTGTAGACTGGGACTAAGCCGTAAGAAATTAAGGCTGGGTCTACATTGGATGTCGTAAGTCGTGTCGGAAGAAATTGACTAATCACAGTTCATTATTCTTTGACCGTAAGGAGAATAATGAACTGTGATTGGTCAATTTCTTCCGACACGACTTACGACATCCAATGTAGACCCAGCCTAATCAGCGTTGACTTATAACTAGTCTACGACCCTTGCGACGCTAAGATGCGACTAATGTAGAACCGGCCTAATGCATGGTCTACAATGCGAGTCGCATAGTCGTAGTCGTAAGAATAATCGACTGCGATTGGTCAATTTCGTCAGACACATAAGAATTGACCAATCATAGTCGACTATTCTTACGATTACGACTTTACGACTTCTATGTAGACGAGGCTTAAGACTTAAAACTTAAGAATTTCAACCAATCGGAATTTTCAGCGTTGCTTAAGTTTCAAAATGGCTGCTCACGTCCTCGACAGCCACTGTACGAGAATTCTGTAACTTGCTATCGAGGTTTTTCGATAACGTTAACTAGGAACAACCAATGAAAATCTGCGTCTTTTTCGAAGATCGTCCTCGCCAATTGGCTGTCGCTAGTTAACGATACTGAAAAGCATCGATTGCAAGTTACAGAATTCCCGTACTGGTCATTTCTCTCAAGTTTTAAGTTTTACTGCTCAAGTTTTTTCGTGTGCCACGGCCCATAGGGCCGTGAAGAACAGGGGCCCGATTCTTGAATTTATTCGAACAAGAAACGTATACGAAAACCCTGCTCTGACAGAAAAGTTCAAAGTCGATTGGTTAAAGCCATGCGAATAGCCAATCAACTTGCAACTTTTCTGTAAGAGCAGAATTTTCGCATACGTTTCTCCTTCGAACATATTCAAGAATCGAGCCCCTGACCAGTGGCTGTCGAGAACATGAGCAGCCATTTTGAAACTTAAGCTACGCCGAAAATTTCGCTAGCGGTTCTGTGAATATCCACCTTATGAACACTGCCAAATCACGCGACAGTGGCGAAATCGCCATGTTTGTGGGAGGGGAGAGACGGTTTAGCTTAGCGCTTATTAGCCGTACTCCCTCTTTTCATAGTTGATGGCCAGCGCGATCCGTCGCATCCGAAGCCGAGAGCGAGTCTGCGTTGAAGTTTCCAACGGAAACGTTACTCCGTCGGTTTTCTGTCGTCGCGGGCGTCGGAACGGAAGAAGCCGGAACGATCAAGCTAGCTCCATTCAGCCGAGCAGGTAAGCGAGCCGACGGGAACGCGGGGGAGCCGCTAGGTTGTGGGGCCGCGTGAGGTTCACGGCACGCGGGCGCATGGCACGCCGCTGCCGCCGCCGCCGCGCCGGAACAAGAAGCGGGTTCCCGGCCGCGGCCGAGCCGTGTGCGGGCCGCGAACCTCGGCACGTGGTCCCGTCGGCCTGGCGTCGCCTTGGTCGCGCGCGACACGACCACCGGGCCCGTGCCGCGAAAGTGGCTCGCGCGCGCCCTTCGCTCGCCGGAAAATCTCTAACGAGCCGCTGGGCAGGAAGAGGGTTCCTCGAGCGGGGACTGCGGCGGATCGCGACGGCAGCGTCCCCGCCGCCGCAGCCATCGCCGTCGGCGCGAACGGCGAGCACGGCGACGCGGCGAGCGGCATCGCGGCCGCCGTCGCCATGGGGCGATCTTTCCTCCGTGCCTGTCGCGAAAAAAGCGTAGCGCGCGCGGCGTCGCTCTCCGGTGCCATGTTCGCGCCGCGGCGCGGCGTACGTGCGGCACGTATGCATGCGTGCGTACGCATGCACGCGCGCACACACGCACACACAGCCATACACACCGAAGGCGCGAAATGGACGGGTCGGCGGGCGAAGGGGGGTGGGCACGGGAGGAGAGAGAGCGCGCGCGAGAGCGGATCGGAGAGGCCAGCCACGTTGTACGGCGTGCCGCGGGACCGGAGAGGAGTATCGTCGAGCGAGGAGAACACGGTAAAGCCCGCGGATAGCGGACCCGATATACCCCGTCGTCCGCGTCGCGCGCGCGCCACGGCGACGGGACGCGACGTCGCGTCCCGTCGCGCTCGCGCGGAACGACGCCGCGTTCGCCGCCGACCTCGTGCACGCGCCTCGGCGGCCGCTCTCTCGCCCGCCCGCCATTGCCGCGACGGCCCCGCGGGCAGGCCCTCGCGGCGAGGCGCGCGTGGAGCACGTGCTCGGCGTTTCTCGTTCCCTCGCGGCCCCGTGGCTCGCGCGCGCTAATCGAACGGCGAGGCCGGGCCGGAAAGGTGCCATTTTATTAGTGTCCCGCGCTCGGCCGGGGTCGCGTGTGCCCGCGCGCCGCCGCTTCGATCGCTCCGATCCGGCCGGCGCCATGCGGCGCGACGGTGCAGCGGCGCGCGGTTCCCCCCGGTTCGGTCCGGTCCGGCCCGGCCCGGCCGGCCGCTTCCTGCCTGCGCGCGAACCCCGGCGCGAACTCGTCATCGCCCGCGCCTCGTGATCCGCCCCGCGGGTTGAGCGCGCTCCGCCGTGTCGCGACCCCGCGAGCCTCTTTGGCGCCGCCGCGCGGCGTTCAGGGGACATTCGTGTCGGCGCGCGCGCGCACCGGACGCGCGGTCGGACGCGGTAGATTGTCCGCCGCGGCGGCGAGTACACGGGTGTGTAGGTTACTCGAGATCCCCCGGCCCTTCGTTCCACGTTCCGCGGAATTGCGTAGTCGAAATGCGCGGTGACTAGGTGGTTTCCCCCCCGAGCTTGATAAGCGCCCCAGCTCCGGAGCTCGCCGCGAGGCAGCGCGCGATTTCCCCCCTCGCGATTTATTTGTATGGCTGTAATGCAATTATGCTGATTTGCCGAGGACGTAGCGCAGCATATGCCCGCGACGCGGGCACGCAACGTGCGAAAGAGCGTGCGATAAACGAGGGATCGGCGTTACATAAATTTTAACGATAAGGAAACTGTGCGGACAAAGGTTCGGGCCCGGTCTACGGGTGAGTTTTCTTTCCGAGAGACAAGGGACCGACGTGCGGATCACTGTAGACCAGACTTCGAGATACTCCGTGCAATGTAACGATATATATATATGTGTGTGTGTGTACATAGGTACGTCTGTATAATTGCAGATCTAAAACGAAACCATGAGTTCAAGCGCGTGTTACAAATGTAACCGTATGGGCCACTTTGCGCGGGAGTGCCCACAGGGCGGCGGCGGAGGAAGGGGAGATCGTGGCCGCGACAGGGACGGCGGTTTCGGACGTGGCCGAGAGAAGTGCTTCAAATGCAACCAGTTCGGACATTTCGCGCGCGAGTGCAAGGAGGATCAGGATCTTTGCTATCGCTGCAATGGCGTGGGTCACATTGCGAAAGACTGTCAGCAGGTTAGTATTGGGGCCTGCTGATCGGGGGTGCCACTTCGCCTCGGGCGCTCCTGCAAGATCCCGGGGAGACTTGAATTGGAAACAGATTGGTTCTTGTGTGTCGACAGGGACCGGAGTTGAGTTGTTACAATTGCAACAAGACTGGTCATATGGCCCGCAGCTGCCCGGAGGGCGGCAATGATTCCGGCCGCTTTGCGATGCAGAGCTGCTACAACTGCAACAAGACGGGCCACATCGCTCGCAATTGCACCGAGGCCGGTGGCAAGACTTGTTACATTTGCGGCAAGACTGGTCACATAAGCCGTGAATGCGACCAGGACGACAGGAAGTAGGAGATAACCGGAATCCGTGCCGCTCGCTTAACGATTACGATAAGCAGTTTACCGTCGCGCGTGCCGCTACAGGAGGTGGTAGCTAGGTAGGGATGTGCGGACATATATCTCGTTGACGCGTACAATCCGCAGAGACGTATGGCTGCGCCGTCGTCGGCGTCGTTGACAGCGCCAATGTGGCGTTGTCCGCCTCGTCGATGTCGTCATTGCCATTAAAGTCGTCCTCGCCGTCGTCGTCGTCATCGTCATAGGGTAACATTTCGCTTTTCGCGCGACAAACTTTTCCCGCGCGTCGATCGGCCGCGAGAGGGTTCTCATCCTACGTAACACGTCTGACATTTACATTTACACATCGGTAATACGCATACAGACGCACATATACACGGGCACACACACATCCATGCTCCGCATACGTACACAACGACAAGCTTAAGGAAATCTGTCGCGCGACGAACGAAATGGTACCCGTAATCGTACGAATTTCATCTCTCCATGCTCCCAGCTCTCGGAGGCCAGCCAGTTTCCCCCAAACACTCCTCGTCCTTATTCCTAATCTCCTTCCCCTCTCTGCCCACCGTTGTTCTCTTCGCAAGGATTTTTTCTTTTCTTAACGATGTCTTTAAGTTTTTATCGCTGTTACACATCGACACCTACATACACGTACATTTTCTACTACGTGTGAATGAGAGCAAGGTTCATCCTACGAGTAACACGTCTGACATTTACATTTACACGTATGTCACACACACAAATACACACACACACACACCACACACGGCACATGTACACGGACATACACATCCATATCCCACACACATACATACACAACCTATGTAATAATATTATAAACATTCTATTGAATTAGAGTAGAGACATGAATCCTCTGTCCCCTGACTTTCGAATCGTCTTGTACGCGCATTGTTTTCCGATGCAAGATGTATGGATTATCGGGAAGCTCACGCGTAGCCTCGCCGAGGATTTGGCGCGCGTCCTGGTGGTTTTGCTGAGGTATAAATGAACAATACGATGAACATGGTGAAAGAATCTACGCGCACTTGCGCCAAGGTACAAATGTAAATGTAAGCAAGACTCCACGCGCACCCTCGACGGCTCTCGCATTTGTACGAATAAAGCAAATTTTACAAAAACGACTGCTATAATTGAAGAATAACAAAAGAAAAAAAACGGGGGGGCCACCCGTTGATAGAGAGGTACGTCTTCGCCATTGACGCGGACGCGATGGATAGCTTAATTAGCAGCAACGATGCTCGTCCAAGTGGTAAGCTGTGGCTAGAGGTCTTGGGACAATTACTGGTATCTTCTTATCATCTCGATGTAAAAGGCGCGATTTCTGCAGCCCAGCATTTCTAACAAATCTTTATTTATATTCCATGTCACGGGACCAAGTCCCAATAAATATTTTTGACATGTACAATCATGTGTAACTGTGTTCATACTTCGAACTTTAAGTATCGGCATTTTGCAGTGGGCAAAGTAGAAAGATGCTGTGCAAAAAGAGAATAAACTAGGCACTCCCTTCATCTTGATCATAAACGTTGCTATTGCTATTTGTGTTGGAAAAATATTTCTCTATTAAACTGTGTGGATTGGATCATTTTCGTTATATTGCTTTCGTTCGGCACCAACACTCCGGGATTGCCGCAGACCAACTTGTCATAGCTGCTAAGCACGCAGGTGGAAGACGCCGAGTGCTTGCAGACGATCACTATGTAATTAAACTATCCATCACGAACGGATTCACAAACGGGTGACAAGACACGGGCTCACGTCGCACCACTTTTCGCATCCACGCATCTTGTATTCTCCGGTCCTCCCTCTCGAACTCTCTAGCCGACACTCATAAATCGTCAAATGAAGGAAAGAAGGAAAGAAAAGAATTCGCGAACGCGGGAAAATGGGAAAAAAAAGTATGCGAGAACACATGCCGGCCCTGACTGCATAAAAATAAGGTTTAGTAACGCTAATTTTTAATATGTAAGGATGTAATGAGGATCTCACCGAGCTGTTACTGTGCGTCACTTTTGCGTTCTCTTGTTTTCTTTTCCGTTTTCTTTTTTCTTTTTTTTTTTATATACATATATATACCGAGCTCTATATGCCATCTAGTTTTCGTAAATAGGTACGGACAAAAAGCGAAGTGTAGTTGTAGGATTGTCAGTGTTTACAGGTTTATATGCGATTGTACCCATACCCTCGGACCTCGATGAAGTAGGGCGAAAGAGCGAGAGAAGACGTGCACGTTTTCTACGGATTTTTGCTGAACGTATAAGGGAAAAGATGTGCGCTGCGATTAATACCAGTAAGACACGTTCAAAATGGTCGCTACATCGATGTATGTATATATACATATAAACACATGGTGGTCTGTACAAGTTGGCACATTTTGTACGTACAATCATAATTGTTAACGACGAGACCATAGGATCCATATTGTTCATACATTGTCGCCGGGATGATGGGCCCGCGATGAAAGGGGGAGCCCACAGGAGAAAGTGTACCAACCTTACTATATCCTTACATGTTGCTGAAAATACTTCGTTACTAGGTATATGTATATATATATGCGCATGTGTGTATACATATATTTATGCATGTGTGCAGGAGCTGTATTTTGTACTGTAAAAAGCTAGTTTATACTCTGGTCGTTGCTGGGGAATAATTCCAATGGTGCGTTTCATGCTTTGTATTTCCAGGAGAAAAATTATATTTTTCATGTGTAGAGTATAATCCCGAGGTCGATACTCTTCTCTATTTTTTTTTTGTTTCTTAAGCCGGCGTCACGTGACGTATGATTTTCTGCATGGAGCCACCGGACAAAGCTGATTGTTCTGATCAGCTGTGTCACAGTTGTGGTCAGAAAGGTTGTCTGACGTTTTATAATAAGTTTCGGAAATACAAAATATATCGTGCAATATATTGTAGCCTCTGCTCGCGCGATGTGCTGCAACGCATTATTAGAGCGAAGGAGTGTGTACGAATATCTGTGCAACGATACGAATATTCCGAAAACCTATTGTAAGAATTTGGACGACCTGTCCGACCGTGACCGTGCATGCGTCTGTCAAATGTTACAGTAGGGACAAACGATACAACTTCTATACTTGAATGAAATTTATAGTTTTTAGTAACTTTTAAGAATTTTTCCAACGCCGTAGATCCACTGTTCACTAAAGTACATTGGTTATAATTTATATTGAATAACACATTGACACGGAATGAAAATTGCGTACAGTGAAATGATCGCGAAACTATTTTCAAGAAAATAATGCATAGCATATTAGCGTATAGCTAATGCTGCGAAACAGAAAATCGTACGTCGTGCGGCGCCCCCGGCTTTACTCATAAGTTGTAAGGACGAAAATTTTTGTTGAGCGCGGTCGAAGGAAACCGTAGATTCTGTGTAGAAACTTGATGAGAGAAAAATCTGTTAATTCCCCGCTGCGTATGGAGGGGACGACCACTTAGGCTCGACGCGAGTACAAAGTGAGATTTGTTTTATAAACGAAGAAAGGGTGAGAATACGAGCGCGCAGTATTTCATGAAGTAAAACGCAACGCGAACAACGCAATTAGGATAAGATGCGATTAGAATTCCGATTACTTTTTTTTTTTTAAACACCCGGACCACGTTCACGCCCGAGTAGCAGCAGCACGACACGCAGCATCAATTCGATCAACTCCGGATGGCGAGTCTTTGTTCAAGCGTCCCGAAGGGCGAGTCGCGCGAACGTCGCGCCCCAAGGGGCGACCTGCCCCTGGACGCGCGACGTCCGCGCGGCCCGTGCACCTTGCGGACTTCCGTGGTTCTACCAGCAGCGACAATTGTGTATTAACGTTCAGAAGCCAGGCGTGCCTGACTGTCTCGGTGGAAGAAAGAGCCCGGGCCGTCCGCCGTCCCGTCGCCGGGGCGGCGGCGCCACCCGGGAGTGTTTCTTATAGTAACCCAGGTGTCCTGTAACAATTTTATACACTTAACACACTGTTCGGGACTTAAAAGATGCCGGATCTCATTGCGTAGTTTCGGTGTGCTAGTGCTCACGACGAGATTTGGAGAGGATCAAACAAATTGTACTTCGCTGTATTGGACCTTCGCGGGCCTCTGGCGCCACCGATGCACGGACGCACCGTCGGACCAAGTAATTCGGGCAACGCGATGTGCCTGGACGGACGTTCGAGGGTGCTCGGGGCCTTCACGTTCGAACCTTTGCATGTTTTACTTATTCCTTGGCTAGATACGACGGAATTTAATTTTTGCTTTCATTCCTGTATCGGAAGGATAAATCGAGTCCCGGGCTCTCGAGACCGGCTGCCCCGGTACCTCGGACGTCGCTAGACTCTTCTCAAACGTCTCTTTTGTACCGTCTGGCTGGGAATAATTCGAGTACGCGTCACACGTGAGAGCAACGGTGTCTGGATAGATACGGCCAATTCCCTCCGCGACATGGTCTACGTGGTTCGCTGGCACCAAAGGTCCGAACGAGCATACGAATAATTATTATAAAGAATAAATAAAAAAAAAACGAGTGCGATTAGGGCACCTGCGCTTTTGTCTCTGCTACAAGACTTACGTACGAATATTGTAAAGAATACGACTGTTACAGTATATGAATCTAATTCGACCGGCGGTGCACGCCGGGTCCACGGCTCGACTTATATATTAAACTAATCTATTAATACTTAAAAAAAAAAAGAATAAGAAACGAGAGAGAAAGAGAGTGAGAGAGAAGAAGGAAAGAAGAAGGAAGAAGACAAGGAGGATGAAGAGGAAGAAGAGAAAAAAATAAGCTACAAAGTAATAAAAGGATTATGGAGTATTCGAAGTTATGTTTTTAAACTGAATTTTTGAAATAGAATGTGTACGGAGAGGCAAAGGAATGGTCTTCTCTTTTCCTCCCGTTTGCGTTCCGAGATTCCACCCTTGGGGGATTCCACCGAGCTAACGGTTGCGCCGAGAGTAGCCCCGGATATTTATCTGTTCACGGTCAAGTATTCTAATAAGTTTCTCGCGGTGTACGCGAAAAACGACTTGGCCGGAACGAAACCTCGAGTTGAAGCCGAGCTACCCCTAAGCTGCTCCAGCATCGGCCTCGCTGGTGGAGTTCATGGACGAGGACGGCATTGGAGCCGCTAGTTTAACGGTAACGCTTTGTCCTTCTAGGACTGGTCGAGCTGTCGCTTCTCCTTTCTTTCAGAAAAGATGGAAGGAGAAGCGCTTGGAAGCATTTGCAGCGGTGGCTTGACCGCAACCTAGGGCTTCATGATTAGTGCTTACATTTGAGGTCCGGTTTCACCGACGTTGCTTGGCTTAAGCTTGGCTTGATTCGTCCTTTGTCTCTTTCCAACTGTTGCTTTAGAAGAGACAACGAATTAAGCTGAGCTTAAAGTCAAGCAACGTCGGTGAAACCGGACCTGAGACTGTCTCAAGTACACAGACAGGCAGGAACGTCCGGCAATTTCTATAAAGCATTCCATGATCGTAGAAATGTCCTGGCATTCCTGCATGTAAGATGGTACGGTCGGACACTGCCGTGTCTCGTGATAAACTATTCTGCAGAAGCGCGTTGGTCAAACAACGTTGGTGACGCCGGACCTCGAGTACGCGGACAGACAGGAATGCCTGGGCGTTTCCACGATCGTAGAATACTTTATGGAAATGGCCAGACGTTCCTGCCTGCCTGTCCGTGTGCTTGCGGCAGCTTGGGTCTGGTTTAACCAACGCGCCTCTGCGGACTGGTTTATGCCGTCTTACATTGCGAACAGACGGGCGGGAATGCCTGGACATTTCTACGATCGGGGAATGCACGATACAAATGGCCAGACGTTCACGCTGTAAACCACTTTGGCAGAGGTGCGTTGGCGTCTCGGGGCGAGAGACAGCCTCGAGACAAACTGCGAATGCTCCGCTCCACGGATTTCTCCGGGCCGCCAAATTAATTAACGCCTCGTGATTTCAGCGGGGACGACGTGCACGCGTACGCGGCGTAGAACGGTGCCCCTCGTCGACGAGGATTGCGTAATCGTGCGCGGCCAGCGCACGCGTGCTACCGGATTGGATCCGCACGCGTTCGGCGTGTCGTCGCGGACGCCCGGATGGCCTCGCCGGGGATTGATCGACCGACTGCTAATTGGCCACGTCTCGCGCGTCGAAAAATTCCTGGCGGAGAAAGCTCCGAAATAGCGCGCGCCGCCACGCAACGATCGCCCCGCGATACGCGATTCCAGATTATTCAATCCGACGACGCCGCGGACTGAATCGCCAAGTTCTTTCTCCGAGCGAGAGGAGGAAGCTATAGAGTGGCGTCAGTCCCGGCGCGAACCGGGTAGATCGCCGTGGCCGCTCGCCGAGGCCCCCGAGCTCCGCGGTCTCGCCGTTTGCCATTTCTTTTCCAACTGCGCATCACACGGTTTCATCGCCGGACGGCTCGTGAATGCGCGCTCATGAATGAGCGGGTGTAGAAAGAAACGGGTTGAATGGATGATCGAGCGGGTCTAGCGTTGCCCATGGAAGAAATGTATAAATAACCGCGGTGGCGTCGAGAGTGCACGCGAACGCCGGCGTCCACGTGTCGAGACACGGAGCGAGCAGCCCGTCGTCAGGTGCGAGGCGGCGAGGAGAGTCCCTTTATCAACGCGGGTGAAGGAGAGAGGGGGGGGGGGGAGGAGGAATCAGGTGGCCTCTGGCGCTGGCGCTGGACGAGCGGAACGTCGAAACGCGCCGTGAGCCAGAACCGCGGAACGCGCATCCGGTTGTCGCGTGATCCCGCCCGCCCGCGCCCCGTGGCCGAATCGTCGTCGTCGTCGCGTCTGTCAAAATCGGCTACTCCGGCCTCGGAGTGCCGCTCGCGGAGTGACGGCCAGCGACGGTGGTTCTCGCGCCACAGGTAGGATGTGAGAAGCCAGGGGGGAACCAGGGAGGAGGAGCCGCCGCGCGCGCGTCGTCGAAGACCGGAGGTAACGAGGAGGAGAGTAAAGGAAGGAAAGGCAGAGAGAGAGAGAGAGAGAGAGAGAGGAAGAAAGAGGCGAAGATCGGCCGATCGCGAGGGCGAAGGATGCGTTTGCGCTCGGGCCGCGAAACCACGGCGACCGGCGTCCACTCGTTTCACTCGCGATAACGACGAGGTGCTGGAGGCGGTGTAGAGGGTGACGCAGGAGGAGGAAGCGGGAGCGACACGAGGAGCAGCAACACCAGCGGCGTCGCCGTCGCCGTCACCGTCACCGTCGACGTCGCCGTCATCGCGCGGACCGCAGCAATGGCCGCCACCGTCGACGGGGCCGGGCTCGAGGAGCTGAGGACCGAGATCGAGCGCCTGTCGCGCGAGCTCGACCTGGCCTCCACCGAGAAGATACAGTCGGCGCAGTACGGGCTCGCGCTGCTCGAGGAGAAGTCGGGCCTGCAGCAGCGGTGCAACGACCTCGAGTCGCTCTACGAGAACACCAAGCACGAGCTGGAGATCACGCAGGAGGTTAGCGCCCGAGCCCGGGGAGACTGTCCGCGCACGTGACGCTTCGGCCCGTTCCGGGCGATCCGCGCCTACGAATCGTCGACTATGTGTACTTTTGTAGCTAATAGTGGCGGCGTTTCGAAAACAAAATAGTTTTAGGCCTTTAAACCCCTGCGCCGGAAGCAGCTCCGATACTGGAGATGTCAATTATTCGTTCGACGATTCGTTATGAAAGTTGTCCAACGGCAAATGTGTCATTGCCATGCCTAGGCGATATCTGTGCACCATCGGAAAAGATCTTTTGCACACAGATACGAATTGAGGTGCGATGTGGGCACAGCAGTGCAAGCGCTGTTCTTACCTGGGGGCTCAATTCTGCACCTTTCAACATAGTGAAAACAGTAAAAGCTTCTCCTTCTAGGGGAACAGTTAGAGAGAGACGGAGCTGCTCACTCTTAGCATTTTCACTACAGTGTAAAATACAGAACTGACCCACTGAACCTAAAGTTAAACAGGTGGCATTCAACAGTTGACGTTCGCTAACTTAATCTTTACTTGCGCTACATTCGACCCAGAGTTATGGGCTTTCATCGGGTGCTTACTTTAGATCAGGTCGCGAAATGCGGTGTAAACCAGGTCAATATCGATATTATTCGCGAGATCGGCTCTTGTACTATGGCTGAGTTCTACTCTGTATTTTGGACGGGGCTGGGAAAGTTACTTTATAAAAGCATCTAGTTACAGTTAGTTTTTTTTCGCTAAAAATACACCAAACGTCGCTCAACTTTAATCTTACAATAAGTTTAACTCGCGTCTCTTTCTAAAGTAACAGTTGGACAGATACAAAGAGCGAAGTGAGCTAAGCTTAAAGCAGGGTTGGGAAAGTCACTTTATAAAAGTATCTCGTTACAGTTACAGTTTCTTCGCTGAAAATGTAACGAGTTACAGTCACAAGTTACCAATTCTGAAAAGTAACGCGTTACAGTTACTCAAGGAGTAACGAATCGTTACTTTGCAGTTACTTTCTTGCAATGGAAATAAAACTATCTGCATTTGAATTGTAAAGCGTCGACAAAAGCGTGATATGTGCAACTGCAAGGCTTAATGCAATTTGCGAGGGTTTAAAAAATATATAAAGTAACTATTAAGTTAGTTAATAATTACTGAGAAATTGTAACTGAGTTAAGTTACAGTTATAGACGAAGAAAACGTAATGAAGTTAGAGTCACCAAAAAGAAGTAACTGTAACTTCGTTGCAAGTAACGAGTTGCTTCCCAACCCTGATTTTGGACCACGTCATTTGGTACTTGCGAAAAGGAGTCTTTAGGGCGATGAGATCTGTGCTAAGTGTCGCTCTAATGACATACTTTCCGAGTGTAAAAATGACGCGTTTGTCACCTGGAGCAGATCTGATGACGAACGAATGAAATGGCATATTTAGAAAGTCGGGACTGTCGCCGGAGGTTTGAGAATCTAAAACTACTTTTTCGTTTAGTAGAGAAAAGTCCTCTATTATGAGATTGGTTTCTAGTGTGAAATAGCAGGTTTTCAACACCCAAATTCAATCGCAAATCTTTCTTCGCAACGATCGCACGGTCCAACGATGAATTTTCCACTGAACAGATTTTGCTCCAAGGATGCTATTAGCTTAACAGAAACCCCGCTATCCCATATTAGGATCTTATGTCATAACAGGAGACTTCTCTGCCGTTATTAGCTATAAAATCACGTATAATTGATCTTCAGGCCCTCATGAAATAGACAAAGTTCTTTATTCCGCTTTCTCTCTTTCGCGACACTTTGATTGGCAGCGTTAATGTGTAACGATAGAAATGAGGCGTGGGTGACTTTTTACTCCCACAAGGTAAACAGACTTTGAAATGAATACGCCGATCCTTTTTCTGGGAGTGGAACAGGTGGGAGGACGGGTGGTGTCAACCGTAGCAATTTGACTGCGGGAGAATGTAGAGTGATTCATTTCGGTGCGCCTGCCTTCGGCCAATCAATGTGTAGATATCTATATTTAGTCATCTGACCGGGGACATGGCGTCCATGAGAAAATATGTCCTTGTATTATATGTAATTCAAAGAGAGCAAATTCTTTTCTCTAGAAAGTCTTGTGTGCAACCGTTTCTTATCGCTGCGCGCGTTACGTAAACACGATTCTCGCGCGAAAAAAAAAATGTATATTTATTCCTGGCGGCGAATTAATTGCATATTTTACCTTAGGCGCTAGCAAAGTTCCAGACAACCACGAAAATAACAGCGAAGAGCGGCATCGAGCAAGAGGAGAGTCTTCTCAACGAGAGCGCCGCGCGGGAAACGTCTCTGCAATCGCAGATCATCGAATTGGAAAGCGAAACAAAACAGGTTCGTGCCGAGTTGGTCGCAATTGTCGACTCGCGCGAAACGTGGGGCGCGTCTTGACGCTTTGCGAATTTGTTTTCAGCTGCGACATGAGCTGGAGCGAGTGCAGGCGGAGCGCGATCACGCGCTGCAGGAGCGCGAGGAGGTCGGGAAGGACCATCAGCAGGCGGAGACGGAGCGCAAGTCGTTACGGACGGAATTACGGGAGTGCAGATTCCGCGAGACTCGCCTGCTCCAGGATTACTCCGAGCTGGAGGACGAGAACATCTCGTTGCAGAAGCAGGTGTCCGGTTTGCGGTCCAGTCAGGTGGAGTTCGAGGGCGCCAAGCACGAGATCCGACGGCTCACCGAGGAGGTCGAGCTGCTCAACAGCCAGGTGGAGGAGCTGACGAACCTGAAGAAGATAGCGGAGAAGCAGATGGAGGAGGCGTTGGAGTCGCTGCAGGCCGAACGCGAGGCCAAGTACGCTCTGAAGAAGGAACTGGATCAGAGGATCAACAGCGAGTCGATCTACAACCTCAGCAATCTGGCGCTCTCTATCCGCGGCATCACGGAGGATCAGACGATATGCAGCGACGGCGAGGACGACTCGCCCGCGCTTCGTAGAATCGAGGCGGACCTGAAGACGCAAGAGCCGGGCACGTCCGCGGCCGACAAGCAGGTAGACTTGTTCTCCGAGATTCATCTCAACGAACTCAAGAAACTGGAGAAGCAGCTGGAGCTCGCGGAGACCGAGAAGGCACATCTGACGCAGAATCTGCGCGAGTCGCAGTACGCGGTCGAGAAGAGCCAGACGGAATTGCAATCGTTCGTTGCGCGAATCGTGCAGCTGGCAGCGCATGTGCAATCGCTACACCATCTTCACTCGAAATTGCCGGAAAAGCAGAGCGAAGAGACGACATTAGACAAACTCAATCAGGTACGCGGATGTATTTCGAATTAAAATAGACAATACAATATTCAAATGTTTGCTGGGTTACTTTGTGCTTGAAATATGCTAATGACGCTATTGTTTTCACAGGCCGTTGTGCAATATCATCAGTGGAGCACCATGTCCGCTCGCGAGATTAATCAGTTGCAGAAAGACCTGTCCGAATTGGAGAACGGCTTAACCGTCTCCGACTCCACGCAGCAGTTGCGAACGGAGCTGACGAATCTGAGGAATAAGGTATACGTTTACTCGTGTCTCGCTACGATTTCCCTAAGATTTACTCGCAACAGTTATTGCAAAGCTTGCAGACGAAGGGCTAAAGTGTAAGTTAAAGAAATAGATTATTATAAGATATAGAGAAAGATGAGAAAGAGCAAGAGTGTTGCTAGTGGCAAGAGTATAAGTGTATGCGATACTGGCGCAATTGTCGCGCGAGAGACGACAGACTTTGAACAGAAATTGTGGCGTTTCAGATACCCGAGTCAGAGAAGAGCCTTCGAGAAAAGGTTGGGTTAAGTGTGGTCCCTTTGACGTATTTACCATAGATATTTTAATAACAATTTGTCTTGTTGGCTCCTCTAATGATCCGTACAGTGGTACTCGCTTCTCAGTGTCCTAACAACCCACACATCGCTTCCAGTCTATGATATACTTCTTCATATATTTAACCGTACACGTTTTCGAAGCTACTGACGAATTCACTCCATTAAACGTAGATCCACGTGTGATGATATTCTTAATCCTCTCTGAGCGCCGTAGAGATACATCACTCATGTTTTTTTTTCACACATGGATCGCAGCATCGAACGCATTTTTCAACGACTGTCACTATCGAATGCTCGAAAGAGACGACGTACGGATCGTAATACGCTATGCAACGTGGCTTCTAAGACAGAATGCGCTTAGGAACGAGAAGTCAAGGTCGATCACTTTCTTTCTATCTAAATTTCGTGCGTTATCTAACGTAGCATGTCGAACGGAGCCCGCCGAGCCTGTTTTGCACGATGCTCGAAGAAAGAGATTCATCCACAACCTGTGAATTTTTCATAAAATCTCCGCGCTGCACTCGCGCGAAACCACGAACTGCGGAATCCTAAAACCACTATCCAGTTACTTGATACGTACTGTTCCGCAAACTCATCTCACGAACGAATTTTCGACAAACACGCGGCATCAGGCAAAACGTACCTAACGCATTTACTGCGATCTGGTATCGCGTTCTCGCTTTCAGCGTGCCTAATATCCCCCTCCTTCGTTTCAGCTCCTGGACACGGAACAGAGGAGCATGCAGCTCGAGTCGGACGTGTCCACGCTGTCGAAGCTCACCGCGGAAGCGGGCGGTTTCCTGGATTCCGCTCAGAACGACCTGCAGAATCTCTCCGACGAGCTCGCGCAGCTCTATCATCACGTGTGCACCGTTAACGGCGAGACGCCCTCGCGAGTGGTGCTGGACCACGAGAAGTCGGAGATCGTGCCCGAGCAGGAGGAGGAGAACGGCAAGATGGATTGGTGCCGAACTCTCTTCAAGACCGACATCAAGATCAAGGATCTCGAGAGCCTCAGCAAAGCGAAGGAAATCGCGAAACACATAGAGACCGCGATGGACCAAATAAAGCACCTTAGAAACGCCGTGGAACACACGATCGAACTGTCCAAAGTCAAGGGAATGCAATCCAATATTTGCAACGTTTGCAAGGGTGAGTGTGTTCCCGTAAAAAGAAAGCTCGTGTTTATCTTACAATATATGTACACGATTGAATTTTGTTGACGAGTAATTTTTCTAATTTTAACTCAATCCTTTCAGCCTCCGTCAATGAGAACAAGGGGGATGTGACGGACCTCCAGGAGCAGGTTATCAGATTAAAGGCCTTGCTGTCTGCTAAGCGAGAGCAGATTGCCACGTTGAGGACAGTGCTTAAATCAAACAAGAACACGGCGGAAGTAGCGCTAACGAATCTGAAGAGCAAATACGAGAACGAGAAGAGCATCGTTAACGAGACGATGCTCAAGCTCAGGAATGAGCTTAGAATGTTGAAGGAGAACGCCGCGACATTCTCGAGTGAGTGTTTCACTTTTGTATTCCTTCTTGCTCTTTCCACACGATTAGACGTCTTTAACTTAACTTAACTTAACTTAAGGACTACAGAAAAAAAAACAAATTAAGATGTAATTATAGTAGACGATTTTTTGCCCTGTGAATCTTTACTAAACCCCCTCCTTCTCTGCCCGTTTTTCAAGATACTTTTACAAACCCTGCAATTAGTGAAATTCAATAATATAACTCTTCTTTTTCTATTTTGTCCTACTAACACGCGCCTACTAATATCGATTAAAATTTGGTCTTTAGCAGTTTTAATGAACGCTCTGGTGTTAATACTGTGGGGTACCGCGGTTGACTATTCGAACTCTCTGATTGTCTGCCATAACTACTGTGTTACATAAAAGTCATCGCAAACGCGTATACCTCCATGTAACATTTCTCTCCTAAGAGCGACTAGTCGAGCATTTTCACGCGCTCATTTCGGAACGCGGTACAGTTAAACTGCCTGTGATGTATCTGGTTTTTGGTTGATGCATTTTTCCCATCTGCCATAATTTTTATATACGAGTAAAGGCGTGCGTCCACGATGCTGGAACTTGGTCCAAGTTCTAGCATCGTGGACACAGGCTTTAAGGGTGCCTTTCGTTCCATCGAAGCCTAGCTTCCGCTTCCAATCTCTTCCGCTAGGGAATTCCATTACGCTTCCAATTCCACCGTCTCCTCTCATTCGCTTGTCTCTACATTGTGTTAAACCCCCGCTAACCGTGCGCTGTTCAGGTCTGCGTGCAATGTTCGCTGCACGCTGCGAGGAGTACGTGACGCAAGTGGACGAGCTTCAGCGGCAGCTCACCGTGGCGGAGGACGACCGGAAGACGCTGAACCAGCTGCTGCGCCTGGCGGTGCAGCAGAAGCTCGGCCTCACCATGAAGCTGGAGGAGCTCGAGGTCGACCGGGAGCTGCGCAACACCAGGAGACACGCCGCCGGCGCGAACGGACGCGGTAGGCCGCGACTGTCGCAACAGACGAACCGTCCCCACTTAGGCAGAGATTTCTTCTAGAAAATGATGAAGATGTGGAGTAAAATATTCTGAAGAGAAGCGAGGATTTTGAGAACCTTTTCGAATTTTTCTACTGCTCGTTACCGAGCCCGCTCACGCGGGCCCGGAAGACCCTAGTGAGTATACAATTGAACTTCTTCGTTAGAGAGGAACGTCCGCGGTCTCGTTATCCACAAATAACCGTTTCGTCGCGTCGAATGCCGCGGCGCGTATTTTTACAAAAACAAAAGAAACACACAAAGGGATGGACGGGACGCGCTGGGGAAAGATGAAAAGGAAAGAGGGGAAACGACGACGCCGTCCTCACTGATACCGGGGGAGAATCGCGCTCGGGTGAACGGGGTGGGGAAGGGGGGGGGGAGAGTAAAGGGCTGCGTTTTGAAGGCTTCGAAATGTTCAGTTTCACGCCCCATGGATTTTGCTCCATATCATAGAGTCTCTTCGGGGAGCTCTGCCTTGTGTTACCACTATTGTTAATAGAGGAATTTAGGATACAGAGGAGCGCGTAAGACACGCCGTTTTCGTTGACGGCGCCCCGCGTGTCGCTACGCGCGTGTTTAATGTGAATTATACGTTCCGCGACGATGCGTCGTTAGCCGCGTCAAACTGTTAAGTGCATTAAATTAGCGCGAGCGTTCCATCGATACATATATATATATTTATATATATATATATATTCTCGATCGGTTTTTATTAAACGGAGGAAACGCTCTGCGTTCCGTCGGCGTCGATTCGAGAGAGCTCTATTACCGCTTTAGCACGCTTATTTATTAACGCTTTACGTATTTCTAAACGATTCGAAGGATATTCCGTTGATGGTCCGCAAGCATAATAACCGCCTTCGGAACGTTGTGTCGGGCGAAAAGCGCACGTTGAAAGGTGGAACGCACGGCGGGCGGTAAAGAACGTTTTGCAGGTAGCGGAAGACTGTGGAGTTTTCACATCGCATAGAGACAATATTTAAATATCGCGCGTGACCCGTAGCGTTTATAATCAAAGTAGCGAGATGGAATGTCGTAGGCAAGTAGACTTGAGAGTTTTTAAACGGTAGCTGAATTAAAGTAGACGATGTAGGGACCCATCTTCCAAGTAGTACCACCACCTCAGGTCACCCGTCACCCGGATGCAATAGTCCACACCTCTGTGCTCACTTACTTTTTATTTTAACGACTTCTTTTCACCGCGATGAGAGAAACCGGCTTCTCAAGTCTTACGCGTGGTCGAGTCGCAGGGATATTTTGTCACGCTGCAAAGTGGAATGACTCTTTGTATCTCGGAGGGGAAACAGTATTATAGAGTGTTATACAGGGTGAGGAAAAAGTATGGAAACCCCTAAATTTGTCAAAAACTATGCACTTTAGAAACAAATGTTTGAGACAAAATTACACATCTCCTGGGAGTTTTCGTGTATACACAAATGTTTATAAAAATTGACGTACTATTGCAACAGCATATGCTTGACACCAAATCAAGTCAAACATTTGTTTCTAAAGTGCATAGTTTTCGAAAAATTTAGGGATTTGCATACTTTTTTCTCACCCTGTATATGAGAGAGACTAAGATGCGAAGAGTGCCATTTGTTTCGATGTTATAGAAAGGAATTTGATTTTAGATTTTAGAGCGGATTGCAATCCTACGCGGCACATATTCCTCTTCGAGCCGCGAAGTCGGTTGTTCCAGCGCCACCGTATTTCGCCGCTTATTTTTCATTGGAGATCGGTGTGTTTTCTCGTTGCTGTGAAATTCGCAATACCACGCGCGATACCACGTTCTTTCGTTCGCGATTTTGTTGTAGAAACGGCCTAAACGGGCTCTAGATCGTTTACGTTGACTTCTTGGCAGCTTGTTGAACCTACACCTATTGTTCACTAGAAGTTAACTATTATATTATCGTATTAATTAGATGCAGCTACGCGATGCAGGTTTTATCACTTGTTAAGTTATGTTTATTTATATTTTTATGTATGTTTTTTTCTTCTATTGTGGCAAAGCGCTTCGCAGGGCAATTTTTGACGCATAATCATCGCCGATCTCGTTCGACGGGATTTGGAAAAGGTTTGTTACAACAAAGGGACGCGCGGCGAGAGCTCTAATTGCGATTTTATTCATTACCGCTATCGTGTACTTTCGTAGGAGTGTAATTATCGTGATAAGTGTGCTCAGTGCAACTCGCAGGATGCTCTTTTACACTGACATGTTCTGCAGATACGTCACGTATCACGCACCTCTTCAGTGCTATATGAGGAGGTACTCGAAAGTTTTCAGAGAATTATCATTTTTTTTATATTCGAAGTGCATGTACAGGTAAAACGGAAACTGTAATTTCTTTGGAAGTACTTACCATGCAATGCAACAATCTTAACGCCTCTCGCGCTTCAGGAAACACTGTCTAAATTCTTTTTCCGGACTATTATAAAGGATTGCCATGAGCGAAGTGGCAGCTTAAAAGGAGACATTTTACTGACATTGGCTGCGTTCAGCAGAAGTCAGCGCTTAATAAGCGCTTTGCGCCGATTGGGTTACACTTTTAGATCTAGAAGAATAGTTATGCCTCACAATCAGCACAGATCTAAAAGTATAATGCAATCGACGCAAAGTGCTTATTAAATGCTGACTTCTGCTAAATCAAGCCATTGATAAGGTTCAACGAGAAACGCTGGCAATCCTTGACGCCATTTCAGGAGAAGAATTTAGAAAGTGTTTTTTGAAATGAAAGAGGCGCCAGGACTGTTGTATCAAGTCGCACGGAGAAGACTTCGAAGAGGATTAAAGTTTCAGATCTGTAAGTACAGTTTAAATATATTATATTTTTTTAAATAATTCCGAAAACTTTGTGGCATCCTCTCGCACACTTACAAATTGCGAAACAAATCATTCCGAGTAAAACGACCGATTATGCAATTGTTCAAAGTTTCGAAGAAGTATCGACCGTGTTAGCACTTTATGAATATTGGAGACTGTGCCTGTTTCTATTCCAAGGACGAATGCAACACCACGACATGACATTTTGCTCGATGATAATCGTGAGTAGTATTTGTATTTTCTAACAGGGTCTTCCGGGGTGTGGACGCTCTCTCTGCGGATATCCATACGATGGTCCTCTGTATAATTGATGGTCTAACTGTAAACAGGTCCCTGGTCCGGTATTTTTCTTACCCAAAGGTCGGCGCGGCTTAGTGCCTGCCTCTCTGGGAGTAATATATCCCTTGCTTCTGCTCTCTTGGCAACCCCTTCGTCTCTGTTCGAACACAGACGGTCTCCGTCTTTGCTACTCCTACTGATCTATTCAGGCTCACGATTTCTCTCTTCGGTCCAAACTATCGTACGGATGTGGCCACGCCTCAAAGAACTTTGTAAAACATACAAACGTTCATCTATCGAGCCGGGTCGCCCTCGGTGTGGATGAATGCGAACGGCACGGCCTTTATTGGCATTTCCTGTTTGACTGATCGTACACGGTCGTTGACTCCTTTACATGATTTTTTAATATTGTTATCATTGCTATTATCGTGCTGTGATGTGCACACGAATGGAAAGTGTAACGGAGCGTCCTGCAAATAAATTTGTACATGTATACAACGCAAATAATGTCATGGATTGTCGATCAAATTTGTTATCGCGACTATTGCTATTGTCTTTATTATCATTACTATTATTACCGATATTATTGCAATTGTATATTTATTATCGTAACTATTGCCTGGTCGGCTTCGTCGCGGTAAGACGAATACCTAAAGAGAATTTATCGATCGTTCATCGACTGTCAATCGATTGATCAGTTGTCGCTATTATATTATATCTATATCTTGTAATTATCGCGTCACCTGTGTCTACGACGCGTGTCGCGAATGGAGATGCCGTTTTACACAATTTTAACGCCGATCGTATTTTGTCCGTATCTCGGAGTAAAGCATTTTTCTCAGATTTTTATTTTATGTACAATCTATTTTCCCTTCAATTTTTCCGTATCAAGAGTCTTCTTTTATGTTCGATAACGCGGTGTGTAATATTGTTAGTTTACTTCATCAGGAGTGACCCGCACTAACCCGTAACTAACTCATTGCAATAACTCGATTAACGGACCTCTTTCTAGATTTTAAAGCTAATTACGCCTAGATGGGAGGAAAAGAAACGCTCGTTTAATCGCTCCGATCAACATTTATGCAATCGGCTCTGGATAAGTAATTTTATCTGTTTATCCTAAGTATTGATGTTCGGGGGTAAAAGTGAATTCCGCAAGAGATTCGTACACGCTTAGGCGCTAGACACAGGTCGGGCTAATTTGTGTCCAAAAACCGAGCCAGTCTCAGACCACCGTCCCTTCCCTTCTCGCCTCGCGCCACCGTCGGGAACGAGCCGGGCAACAAAAAGGAAAGATCCTTCCGTTTCTCGCGAAACTGTCCTCACTATTTTTCACGAGAAATTTCGTCCTCAACTCTACCTAGCCGTCCGCGCCACTCCACGCAACTGGAGAGAGCATTAGCGTCACACAGAGATATTGGAATCAGTTTGTATTGTGAAGGTAATTGTAATTCGGAGACTGTGCGTAATTATCGATACTTAATAACTATGTTTAATGACACTCCGATAGGTCTTTAAAGACGCAAATCGTAAAGAAGAAGAATTGTTCCATTGATAAGACGATCTACGCGGTTTCTGTACAATTGAAACGTCTGCACTTCTTGTTAATTGATGTTCGAAAAGCTCACGATAACGAGGCACAGTTTCCGAAGTCGTTAAAAATCGACGAACCGAATACGAGCGTCCAGTCGTGGAAGCGCACACCTTCGATAACTTTTGCCAAAAAATAATTCTGTCCTTTCGAGGGACCGACACGGTCTTTCTGTACATTTACGTCCTTCGCAAAGTTCCTTCACGTTGTAAACGGTTGCGTATCGACGCCGTGAATTTCTATTTGCGCTATCTCGCCGATAATTGTCACGAATCCTCTTTCAGAAAAGAAGCTTTCTCGCTTTTTCCACCATTTATCGACCGGGGTGTTTGATTTCAATGATTTCTCGGTATTCGCCTGATCTGCCTGTCTTTCGTAAACTCCATGTAAACCGTATTTTCTGAAAAGGATCCCGGAAAGTACGCAACCGAGTCATTCGTCAAGTTTAAGATCGTGTTTAAGATTATTAAGTTAGAAAGAGAGAGAGAAAGAGAAGAAAAAACAGAGCGATTTAGATAATCTAAAGAAAAGACCAAGAAGGGGGTACATCGTGAACAATAATATCAGGATCTGTCCGCCGAGGGTTGATAAATAGGGATCGGGATGGCGGACAGATTTGCTCAAGGCTTCCACAAAAGCTCTCATTGCGTCCCGCCCGGTGAGCTTCCCGACGGTGGTGCGTTTAGATCACAATACGTGAGACTAGACATATAAAAAGAGAGAGAGAGAGAGAGAGAGAGAGAGAGAGAGAGAGAGAGAGAGAGAGAGAGAGAGAGAGAGAATGGGACTCGAGTAACGAGTCCGATTAGTTGTAACGGCATAGGCTAAGGAACTGACTGTAATGTATGCTGGAATTATTATCTCTAGGAAAATTTGAAGGAATGAGCTGTCGATGTAACGACGCGTGTGTAAAACGTCTCGACGGATGTGCCGCGCTGTAACCGGGTCCATGTTGCATTTTAGCGATACATCTAGACACCTCGTCGTTCAGAGTTCGTAATTTCCTGGCAATAATTTCGAGATGCGAGCTGGACGACACTATCGGATGGTATTTTGCGGTGTGTGCATTCCGTATCATTTTACTGTAGCTATTTCTAAAAGATGTTATTGTTAATGTAGGATATTTTACGTGACACTACAAATCATTTCTTCAATTCGTGAAACACGTTTTTAGGGAGTTTCGATATTAGCGAGTGTTTACGCGATATTTCGATCGACGTTTCTTTTATGATGCAGTCTACAGAATCTATTTGGATTCAAAGGGTTTTCATCATTTTAGTCGCAATGCCCAAACATCCGTGAGCATCGTCAAAAGATTGTACAGATCTTTTTATTACGTTACAAAATTAATCATGATGTTAAATACTGATTGCAGGCTAGTGTGGGATACGCATGTAGCTCGATGAATTTGATATTTCTGCGCAAGATAAATTAATAATATCAATTGCAACATTTACGTGGGTTTATATAATAATTCCTCAATGTGTAGATTTGGTAGATTGAATCATTGTGTTAACCGGGGGAAGATTTGATGAATTAAGTTGCATTCTATTGTAAAAAGGAGAAAGATCTTTGTAACGAACTTTGAAGCATGGACCCAGGACATATTGTACATATTGTAAATGCACTCCTAGCGTTACGGCATTAACAATACATTGTCTAAAACGTACCAACATCGCGGAGATTAGCACGAACGATTTATACATACACATACAAATATTGTACGAACGTCAACGAGCATATTATATTTTCTCCGTAGCTACGATAGAACGTTAAACGTTAACATAGGAATGATCCCGGAAGCAGCCGACCGATTATAGCAACCGCGTGATTTTTTCTCCTGCGTTTACTGAGAATCGATCGGGGCAGCGATGCCGCAGTCATTTTGAATTAGCTCGGAAGTAGCTGTTAAGTAGGTGTTGAGTGATATTATTTGCAAAAGTGTCTGTAAAAACCGGACGGCAGAGAAAGAGAAGGAAAGGACAAGATGCGTATTCAAGCCACACTCGTGGTACCTGGAGTTATTGAACAACGGTACATTATACGTAGTAGAGATTCCTTTTGTAACATAAAGTGAAATATAATCATTTGTAACAGGACTGCAAATTAATGTTCGCCTCTTCTTCCGTTTCCACCTCGTTTTTGTTATTCATTTCTATTTCATACATCAATTTCTTCATTCATTCTATATCACGTTCCTTTTAAATAAATCTCAAAATCTGGCTTATTCAAAATTATTCTCTCTTATCCTGATCATTTTTATTTATTTAACTTTGCTTTTACTATACACTTTTATCTTCAACTATTCTTTTGCATTTGATCCCATCCTATCATTGTCTCACATTTTTTATAACATATCAAAAAGTCTAGCTTATTCAATATAATTCTTTCTTATCTAGATAGGTTTTATTTATTTGATTTTATTTTTAATTTAAAGGAAAAAATCAACTATGTATACAGGGTGAATCTTAATGCCTGCCCCAGCCTTTTACCATGAGAAATGGATTACCGACTGCAAATAATGATATCATTATGACTTTTCTGTTCTACCTGGGACTGTGGTATATGGTTTATGATGATCTCATTTATATCGCGTCTATGAGTGCTGCTACACGGACCGCTTAATCGGGTTTAATAACATCCGTAGTTAAGGGGCTGGCCAATCACAGTCATTCCATTCTTCTGAAGAATAGTTAACTATTCTTCAGAAGAATGGAATGACTGTGATTGGCCAGCCCCTTAACTACGGATGTTATTAAACCCGATTAACGTGCCGTGTAAACATAGGCCGGTATTCATAGTCGATTCTCATTTCAAAATCATCTTAAGTATCGTCTTAAGACGCTAATACAGCTCTGTGATTGGTTGAAAACACATTAAGAGCATACTTAAGATGATCTTAAATATAAGAACGGACTATGGCCGGTATTCATAGTCGATTCTCATTTCAAAATCATCTTAAGTATCGTCTTAAGACGCTAATACAGCTCTGTGATTGGTTGAAAACACATTAAGAGCATACTTAAGATGATCTTAAATATAAGAACGGACTATGAATACCGGCCATAGTCTGTGTTTGGCGTTGTTCATTCATTCATTGTCGTTGGAATAACAAATAACAATTCGAGTATAGTTCCGTTTGGGACGTCGAGTGTGCGACACGTCTTCTGACCTAGAAGAATAATTTTTCATCCCGCGGGGTTGCATCATCCCGCGCGAGACCCGATATTCGGGGCCTTCGCTTTGTACATAATCACCTGATAATCGTTTAATTCTATTACGTCATCGCTTAATTCTATAACGTTTATTGAATACGCACAAGTCAAAAGGTTCGACATGGCCGTATCAGTCCGCACCTGGCGGCTGGGTGCCAACTAACCGGAGGAAGAAGAAGAACAATTCGAGAACAATAACAATCTCTACACGGGAAGACTCTGGTCAACCGCATGCAATTACACACAGCTCTCGTGTAATTACATGTTTTTCGCAAGTGGTGCCGACTTGGAGCAACGCATCATCGCTAACAATAAGATGTGTCGAGTAGCGCAGGGCTCTGCAATTATCGACATCGGAATGTTGTTCCCGGCTTTATGATACTTTATGATACTTCGCGACACGTGCCTGAACGCAGGAATCACGTGAAAAGCGGCTCTTCAACAAACTGAACTGAGAATATACCGCGGGACGAGATGCCGAGGCAAGAGGACGTTTTTACAGAGCACGTTTCCTCAATCGTTCGGCGTTCTTGCATCACTCGGTGGACGCTGACGGCATAACCTCTGCTGCGTGCTTCGAGCCACTTTGCACCTGTTTACATAATTCTACGACGGTCGCCGCGGCCTCGAGGACTCGACAATGACGAGGAATCAGTTTCCGACGGACGGAGACTGTCAGTTGCTGTCGACTCGTCTGTAATATACAACGCACTTTTATATTGTCGCATTTGCGCGCGAGTCGCGCGGCGCCGATCTGCGTCATGATGTTTCTGGAATACGTGCAAACGCTGTCCGACAATCCTTACTTCGGCGCCGGCTTCGGTCTGTTCGGCCTCGGAGCCGGGGCTGCCTTGTTGAGAAAGGGCGTTCAGGTCGGGGCCGTATTATTCAGGTACGACGCCGAACGTCGAGTCTGCTTCGCCGCGGCAAGCTGTACATTCGTTTCTCCGATTTAACGCGTTGCCTCCCGTTTTCAGACGGCACTACATGATCACGCTGGAGGTGCCGTGCCGCGACAAGAGCTATCAGTGGCTCCTGCAGTGGATCACGCACAAAGGCGCGCGGAAGACGCAGCACCTCTCGGTGGAGACCAGCTTCGAGCAACGGGAGACCGGCCACGTCAAGACCAAATACGACTTTATTCCCAGCATAGGAACCCACTTTTTCAGGTCGGGATACTCCCAAGCGCTTGCGCTTTCTGCAAACGATGAAGCGCCGGTGGCAATTTGTCTCGTCGCGCCAAAACTGAGGGTCTGAGCGGAACGGCTATCTTGTATCCTCAGGCCACAAGACAGTTATTATGCGTCGCTTTGTGACGAAGATTTGATGCGCACAACACTGTCTTAAGAGTACAAGGCATCCCATTCTGCTCAGGCCCTAAGGCTGCGTTTGGGCCTGAGCAGAATTATGCGGTTATTATGCATCACTTTGAGACAAAGATTTACAACGCACAACACTGCCTTAAGAGTACAAGACAGCTCATTCTGCTCAGGCCCTTTGGGGAGACGCTATTAGCGCTGAAAGCATCAGTCTCCTCCTTACTCGTTATATGTCGAAGAAAGATAGAAGACGCAGACCTTCAGACTCTTTCTCAGTTTGATTTCTTCTGTTTCTTCCATGGTGCCCGCAGATATAAGGGGAACTGGATAAAAGTAGAAAGAACCAGGGAGCAGCAGACTTTAGACCTGCACATGGGCATACCATGGGAAACCGTACAGCTGACGGCGTTCGGCAAAGACAGAAGCATTTACTTCAACATTCTCGAAGAAGGTTGAGTTGTCACAGATAATTTACAGATACCCTATACGTAGCGTTGGAAAATCAGAGGCAATTCTTGATTCGTACACAGCCAGACAAATGGCTTTGAGGGAGCACGAGGGAAAGACTATAATGTACGTCGCCATGGGGAGCGAGTGGCGGCAGTTTGGGCACGCGAGGAAGAGGAGACCGCTGGAATCGGTGGTGCTGGACACCGGTATTTCCGACAAGATAGTAAACGACTGCCGGGAATTCATCAATAATCCGTCGTGGTACAGCGAGAGAGGTATCGCGAATCTGCGATTTCTACTTTCCGCCCCGATTACAAATCACCGATGTCTACTTGCGAGCGAGTTTTCTAATCTACAACGTGCTCTCTGCGTCTAGAAACATTCGGTTTTTTATATGGGCAAATCGAAACGCTTGAAAACTCTGTCGACGATGTACGATTGTACAATTTATCAAGTCGCATAAATTTCTGAACATATTGGCTACAAAATATAATGTTTGTAGACGTAAAGAGCACATTGTAGATTAGGCTTTGGGATAAGAAACGATGATCTTTGTAGGGATACCGTATCGCCGGGGCTACTTGCTGCACGGGCCTCCAGGATGCGGCAAGTCCTCGTACATCACCGCGCTGGCCGGGGAACTGGAGCGCGGTATTTGCGTTTTAAATCTATCCGAGAGAGGCCTCACGGACGACAGACTGAATCACCTGCTAGCAGTAGCGCCGCAGCAGACTATCATCCTACTTGAAGATGTCGATGCCGCTTTCGCTAGTAGAGAAGATTCTAAACAAAGTAAATATCAGAGGCATAGAGCGAGATACGAGACAGCAGAACGACGAATAAATTATTTATCTGCTATTCTGACTTACATTTTGCTTTCAGTTAAAGCAGCGTACGATGGTCTTAATAGAGTAACGTTTAGCGGTTTATTAAACTGCCTGGATGGCGTGGCTTCTACAGAAGCGAGAATATTGTTCATGACGACCAATTATTTGAACAGACTAGACCCCGCGCTCGTTAGACCGGGCAGAGTCGATGTGAAAGAATACATCGGTACGTACGGAAAAACAAAAGGAATAGTAATTAGAGAACCTAAATAATTATTTCACTGCTACTCTCTCAGGCTGGTGCAGCGTGAGTCAGGTCGAGCAAATGTTCCTAAGATTTTACAAGGAGCCGGGCAAGGATCCTGGTACACTTGCAAGGGAATTTGCGGACAGCGTCATGTCCTTCAAGAAAAACGTCAGTCCGGCGCAGATTCAGGGATACTTCATGTTTCACAAAAGCAATCCCGACGCGGTGATAAATAATGTCGCACAAATCTGGGAGCTCACGTGATAGATAGTGAAACTGTAGCTGTAACTCGAAGTAGTAGCGATCGTACGCGAGTCGACCAGAGTGTTCTGTCTTTCTATGTAAAGATTGTTATTATTCTCGAATAAGAGAGCAACCTGCAACGTGGAGAAAATGAGCAATTATTTTTATTTTTCCCTTATAAAACAAATACAAAACGAGGCGGAGATCTCAATGGATGTAGTTGAAAATATTTCTGTTACTCGTGTGATACAACACATGGCCATATATCGCTGATACAGCGTCACGTATTGCACAGTACAACGGGACGCATTCTCACTCGTAATGATATGGCGTACGTAATACCTTTACCATTCGATATTTATGCACGAATGAAAACGGGCGTTCGAAATGTCAGACGAAATTTATCTACAATATCTCTCACATTTTTACTAGTGCACTACTTTGCATTTGTACCACCGGTAATTGTATGCGGACGACTATATGAATACTGCTTTGTTTAAATCAAAAGAGACTTCTGCAACAGAAAATTTCATGTAATATGGACACTAATCTGTGGCTGCTGCGTTAAAATAAACTGGTACATGAAACAGTGACACAATGTAACGACAACGCTACATTCAAAGAACTTGTGCATGCGTGTATAAATATGATAGGAAGAAAGGGCAGTTTACAGATCGAATGTATTTTGGCAGCTCGTTTGAAATTGGTTCGCTACATACTTTTCTAATTGGAACATGCCAATTTGTACTGTAGTTTTAAAGCAGATTCATATATAATTAAATATATAGAATGTACACTATCTAAAATCATCTACGGATGTATATATATAAAACTCTCACAAAGAAAGGACCGAATAGGAGTTATATATCGAAAATAGATCTATCACTGGATTCGTTAAGAAACTTGATGGATTTTCTATGCTACGTAGCTACTATAATAAGTAGTTTATATGCCGAATCGGCAGATATTGTGTCTTTCACTAAAATTCACTTGATAGTCGGATCTCGTTTTCTTTTAGCTGTTAAAAATATTTACAACATAAATGCTAAAACCTTAATTCAATGAAGTTTGATCGTATTGTATAAAAGTCAGTTTTTAATATACAATGATTCCTAATACGACTGCACGCTATTTAAAGAGACAAGACATAGCAAAATAAACGTGACGTACATCTTTGTGCTACTCTACATGATTCTATTTACATACTATAGTCTTCATGTTGATTTAAATTGGTCTAAACGCTGTATGTGTACCGTAAAAGTCTCTCATTAAAGTTAATAATAATCAAATTAATAACTTTTTCTTATATATAGATATTTAACAATAAAATCACCGAGTTCTCTTCTTACACATGCACGCACATATGCAGACGTATGTTCTAATATTGCAACGTATGATAAGTAAAATCGTACACAAGAGTCGCAATGTTAGAATACCTAATCGTATCGATTAACGGAATCTCTGCATCATCGAGAGATTTTGCAATTTGTAGAGTTCTTTCCATTCAGACCTAATTTTGCGGAGCTTTAACAAACGGCGGAGTTCAAACATAATTGAACTTTTCTATTTTCAACGCTACATGTGCGGTTCAAATTGTACCGATTTTATTTAAAAAGTCCAAATGTACGGCTCGTATAGAGGGTCCGTTTGATCCATGTGACTCCCGTGATTACTGCCGGTGACCATGCACGACGCATAGGCGATGCCGGGATTGCTCGGGCCCGACACGGGCGGAACTATCGGTGCCAATCTGCAGTCCGGTCTCTGCTGCATTAACGGGCCCATCGGCGGCATCGGTTGCGGCGCCGGTGGTGGCGGAGGTGGTTGCGGCAGTGCGGGAGGCGGCGCGGCGATATTATGCACCGGTTGCATCATATTAGGACCTGGAACGTAACTCGCCACTGAAAAGTGGTTTGAAAATTAGTTTTCCTTCCGAACAAATGTATAAAGAAATATCATTAAGACTCTTACTACTCTCGGGATTATGAAACGATATTGCGGGCTGTTCCGGTATTATGCTCGCCGGAGGTGGAGTCGTTTTCGGTGGTGGCGGTTCGCTGCTCTTCTTTTTCCGCGCGACGCGTTTTTGACCGCTGTTCGTCACATGATGACGTTTCTTATCGCCACTTTTCTTTTTCTTCTCGACCGGTATTTTCGGTTTGTTGGGGCGATTGCCGCTCGGCTGCCACAGGTGGACTGTGTGCACCGCGTTGCCCTCGCTAAAAAATATATATGTCACGTTAATTGCAAATTTCGTTTTCTATAAAGACTACAAAAGACGCTCCATAATTAGACAGTAACTTAATTGTAGCAATAGATTTGTAAACAACATCACATAAGCTGTCTTAGAAAAACTTTCTCGAGAACATCGGGAAGGGAAATTTATAGAGACGATTCATCTAACCCTTGCTTTTTGCCCAACTTCCAGCTGTGTATCCCAGCCTTGTGAAGCCTCTCTCTAATTGTATCCACACTGCACTTAAGACCTAGCGCAGGTGCTACAAATTTAGCGGCGGTGAGAGGGTGCTGAGTAGCCATCGCGACGATGGCCTCGTCCTGCTCCTTGGTTGTGATTCGACGTCGACCTTTTCGTTCCTTCGTTTGCACATTGCCTTCCTTATGCCAACGTTCTAACCATCTTTTAACAGTACGTTCCTGATTAATTCAAAATCATGTCCATGTAAATCTCTTGCGTTAACTTTCTCGAGTTTGTAATACAACGTTCACAACTATTCACATATGCTACAGAGATCTACAGTATACGATCTAAGTTCAATTCAAAGCCTAACGAATAAAGAGCACTACTTTCGACATACCGATCTATCGATCGCCAGCGCGATGGACAGAGTGGACAGTCCGGCCTCGGACATTCCAATCATGCGATTTCTGATCTCCACGCTAGTCTCCAACGTTCCCTTCGCCTTGCCGCCCTTCTTCTTTTTCTTCTGCCGTCCCGACCGCTCGCCGCCTTTCCGCGACGATTCCTTGTGTCGTTGCGGCTCGCAAGACGACTGGCTATTCTCGTTAGAGCTACAAGTGTTCGAGCTATCCGATCCTACGTTCACGCTCGCCTGCTCGGGACTAGGTATGCCAGACTGCAGGCGCTGATGTTGCTGCTGAATCTGATGCTCCACCGACAGTCGCTGCTGATCGAGATTGTGATGGTGAGACTGAGTGTTCTGCTGCTGATGCGACTGCTCCTGCAATCGCGCCTGCACATGCACCTGCACGTGCTGCTGTTGCGCGTGATGCTGCTGTTCCTGCTGCGTGTGCAGCTCCTGCAGTTGCGTCTGCGACGGAGGATGCTCGTGAGGTATGGGATTTGGTTGTCCCTGCGGACAGTATGCAAACGTGACTCACGCCTTCTCTACTCGTATCGCATTTGTGCTTTAGAAATGGGGCAAACCTGTGGATAATGGTGACTGCCTTGCACTAGATCTAACGGCCAAGTTTGTACCATGGTCAATCCCGGATGTTGATAGATGGGCTGCGGCTGCTGCACCAGGCTCAACGCGTTACCGAACTCCGTCTGACTCGTGGATACAGATTGCGTGGAAGGCTGCATCTCGGTGACTTGAGGCGCGGAAGGCAGTGGAGGAAGATTTTGCTGAGAAAACACAAATTCTTGTTGCTGTTGTTGTTGCTGCTGCTGCTGCTCGGAGCTCTGATTCTGCTTCAGACTCTGCGCTTCCAGCGGTGCGCCATCGTCCGGGTATGTCTCTCGAGACCTGACCTTTTTCGAAGGGTTCTTCTTTTTAACCGCGACACCAGCTTTCTCGGGTCTGCCCGAGTCCCTGGGAATTTTCTTCTTGCCCAACTGGGTGCCGGTCGGCCGCCATACCGCCTGCTGAATCGCCGCACCGTCCGCATCGCTGGGATAGAAATCGGACAATCAGAGAGACAAGGTAAAACTCACAAGCAAGACACTTGCTCCTTCGTATTTAAAATCATCTTACTTAAGCAACTTTGGACCGAGATAAACAAAGTTACATTTGTGCTTACGTTAAGGCCTGTGTCCACGATGCTAGAACTTGGTTGCAGCCAACCAACTTGCAGCTATTCCATAAAAGCCGTAAGTTGATCGGCTGCACAATTTCTGGGAACTCGTACGTGAACCAAGTGGACGCAGGCCTTTACACAAACGTATTGTGATCCTCATGGCGAGCTACAGAGCGAAGGTGAAATTTCCCCAACTCGACGTTTCGTAATGTATTTCTACGCGTGCTACTGTACACTTTACGACCGCGAGAGCAATCTGAAGGAGCCCAAGTCTAAGGTGCGCTCATAAATATTAACCCCAGCGGAATCCTCTGCATGTATTTGCGCGACGGGCTCCAGTTGTGAATCCCAGCCTTGTGCAGCCTCTCTCTCACGGTGTCGACGGAGCAGGTGAGACCTAGCGCGGGAAGCACCGCCTTCGCCGCCGTAATGGGCGTCTGCGTGGCCAGACGTACGATCGCCTCGTCTTGCTCGCTGGTGGTGGCTCTCTTGCGTCCGCAGCGCTCCCGCGTCTCCACCGTGCCCTCCTTCTCGAATCTGTTCAGCCACCTCTTCACCGTGCGTTGCTGAAAGTGGTCGGGGCACAGATTAGCGCTCGACGAAGCGAAAGCGAAGATACGTTAAAATCACAAACGTCAAAGATTGACGTTCGCAATTGGCGGGGGGGAGTCGAGCCTCGCTTGATACGGCGGCGGACACCGACCAGGCTCGAAAAGAGGTGCGAAATTATTAGGAAGCGTCGAGGGAGCATTTATTTACCGAGCAGGTGACCGCGGCGGCGATCTCCCGCAGGCCCAGGCCTGCCTCGAACATCCCCACCATCCGATTCCTCAATTCGGGAGTCGTCTCGTGGACGCCTCTCGTCTTGCCCATCCTGCTGCCTCGTCCTCGGGGCGAGACGCGACGCGACGTGCCGAGCCGGGGATTTAAATCGCACGCGAACGCGTGACGTACGCGAAACAACGCGAATCACGTGACGAGAGACGACCACCGATCGTCGTCTTCGAATCTTTCTCTCTCTCCCTCTCAAAACTCGGTCCCGCGGCCGCGCGCGGGCATCCTGGGAGGATCCGATTCACGCGGGGTTAACTCAAACTCGTCATCGCCCAAGAGCGTCGCCGGAGAGCCGAGCCCGCGCCGATCCTCGGGGCCCGCCGTCGGTCCTGCCTGTCTCACCCGGGGACGCTCGCCGCGCCGGGTCGTCCTCTTCCTCCTCGCCGCCTTGTGAGACGCGCGGCTCACCGCTTCCGCGCCGTCCAGCGGGACGGAGGGGCACCCAGCGGGAGGGACACGCGGGCCCGCGGTCAATACAACTGCCGCCGCGCGGTACAGTCCGTCGAGATTCTTTTGTCCCGCGGCGCGCCGTCGGGCTCGAGTCGCCGGCCGTCCGTCGCGCGGCTCGCAGCGTCGGGGGACGCCGTGGTCGAGGATCGCGCGTGACTCCGCTTCTTCCGGGATCGCGCGGATCGGCGAGCACCAGCGAGGGTCGGCGCGCGTCGTCGATCGGCAGCCCGCGGACTGTACCGCGCCACCGTCGGTACAGTCCGCGGCGCGGACGACGCGGGCGACAGGTGTGTCTCGCACGAGGATCCCCTCCGTCGCGTTTCGGCCCGCCGAAAGTCAGCCGGCGGAGGCGAGCAACGGCGAGTACGCGCTCCCGACGGGGATCCCGGTCGCGCGAATCGCCACGTGAATCCGCGACGCCAATACTTGTCCCGGCGCGGACACGGTCAGTACTTGTCCCGCGGACTGTACGCGGGAAAAGTACAGTCGGTACTGTCGGTAGGAGCGGCAGCGGGACGAGGCCCCCGTCGTTCGGGACAATTGAGACGAATCCCGTCGTGTCCCGTCGATTTGTTTCGACGCGACGCGAGCTCATTCGACGTGACGATTGTTCGAGATGAACATCCGCCGGTCTCGTTCGTGCCAAATGCGCGACGGACTTGTACGTGCGCCCGTTCGGACGGCGGATGGTCAATAATTCCGCCGGCGACTGTACCGCAGAGAAGTGAGGTTATTCGGAGCGCCCGCTCGGGCGCGCTCGCGCACCTCCGCCGGAATTGTATTGACCCAGAAACCCTCGCGCGCAGCCCACGTGTGCGTCACGTCGGCCGCGCTTTCGCGCGACGACGCGCGGACGCGCCGGGTGAAAGGATCCGTGTTTTCTCTGTTCCACTAAGGAAAAAGCCCTAAACTTAAAGGAAAGATAATAAATTAGTATGGCTCACACGTGTTAAACGCAAATTTCAAGAAATAAAGGACTCGGGGCCGTGACAGGGTGGCAGTGTCTAAATATTTTATTCCAAGTTTATTGCGAAAGAATTAAAGGAAAGAATTTTGAAAATTGAGTGCGTAATTTGTGGAGTTTTCTAGGAATTTTCTTGGAAAACTCCTACATCTATTGTGTTGCGAGCGATCTTTATATTTTTTTATCTTTTCATCATTTGACTTTATATCTAAATTATATTTTTCTCCACAAATCCGAATAGCAAACTCCACGCTGAAGTGCGGGCAATGGAAAGACGGATAAACGGGGAGATAAAAGATTGTGACAGGCCGCCAGGAGGTTTCTCCACAATCTAAATTATATTTTATACTCTGTTTGTTTTATATTATACACTGAAGATGGCCTAGAGAAAGACCGAAACGTTTGTATTTTTATGTTTTAAATATATGAGAATTTTATCATTGTGACACTGACACCTAGTCAAGGCTCTTAGCCCTTTTATTCATAGATTCTTACATCTATGTTCTTCGCTTATGTAATTGATAATATAAAATATACCAAACACGATACTCCCCAAATAGCACAA